AACCAATATACGATAATTTTGACCTCTAATATAGATAATGAGCAAGAGCGTGTGCATGTGAATGTGTGCATATAAACGGGTGCATAATTGTCTGAATGCTGTGTACACACATAGGTACATACATGTGTGTGTACAGGTGTACAGATGTGTGATGTATGTTGGTTTGTATGTATGTATGCATGTTTGTATGATTTTTTGTGGATGTATGTCTTCGTGTACTGATACTAACGAATATGTGAACACAGCCATGTCTGAATCGTATGCATCCACTGTAAGCATAGGTCTTAGACAAACTTTACAAGTGCGGCTTCATCTACATATTTGCACTCGTGTAATGTATGCTTACGTGTTCAGGAAATAGCTGCACCTGTACCACATGGATACGGATCACAAACATCGGTACTGTAGCAGTGTGCATGTGTATGTGCGTATACCCAGCCATATACACGTGCACTCGTACAGGAATGAAAGCACAATCTGTTCAGTTGTGCCTGTATCCATACATGCGTGTGCATATATGGACTCCTCACTGAAACAAGTAAAGTCATGACGTGTAGTGCAGTGAAACGCCTTGCAATCTGATGTATCATACATCACATTGCAAGACGCTTCATACACTACACGGCATGACTTTACTTGTTGCAGTACGATAAAGTACAGTACATCATCTTACAGTGCGCTAAGTTACATAAGATTGCATTGCGCTACCTTACATTACCTTACCTTACGTTGTGCTACATACCTCTCGCTCCATTGATATTACTTCACACATTGTTACATTCATCATCACTCATTATGTTATCATCGTGCTGGCACGAACCATCGTAGTATGAGAAAAGAACCTCAAGTGAGTGACCCCAAACAGCCTACACGAGTTTCCCAAGCCGTAAACAGACTGGAACACCTATGAACTGCCTCTGAACCTTCAAAATTCATAGGCTCTATTTTCATGAAGCCCACCTGGAGAGACCGAACATCGTAAGCTCGGGAGGGCATCCCAACCGCATCTCCTCCTGCTCGATCCACTCCTGGGTTTCGGTTTCGGGCTAAAATTTTAGGTATTAGGGCCTGGGTTCAGGTTCGTTGAAGCTGGCATAGTGCAAGGCCTCTGTGGTCTTTTACCATCTTTCGATGGTATTGGTGTGTCAAAACGACTTCAAGGAACCAAGTGTACAGAGTGCCACATCTTCCATACTCCGAGCATCCCTACTTAAGTTATCTCAACGCTATGCAACCCTTGTAGCAACTTTTGCTATGGTGGCTTCTTGACTGAATTCCTTTCCTCAACCTTACGAAAAATGCTTTAAAGGCATCAAGGAACTCACAAAACCCTCAAGCAACCATTCCAAATCGCCATACCACCTTTGTTATGCTATCTTAAATACCCTCACAAAATCCTATGGAAACCCTGCCAAATCCTAGACAACCCTTGAACAACCCGTGGGCAACCCCTGTACAACGCTTTACATACCTTAAACCCTACTTGGAGGATCAT